TGAACCAACTGAAAGCTTTTTTATTTAGTTTTATTTTTTTTTAGGTTAATGTAAGAAAGAAAGTCTATAATAGTATTATTAGACAAGACGCAATGGATATCTTTAACGGCTTTTTGGTATGTTCTCGAAAACTGTTGCGTTACAAGCTCCAATTAACCAGTTATATTTTAATCGAAAGACTAATTAATTAAGAGATCGGTGTTTCGACACGAATTTTTGCACGCATTTCCCACGTAAAAGGATGTTTTATAGCTGCAAAACGTTCCCAAAGATGTGTCCAATATACCCATTACCCAGACGTAAATAAATTATTGGGTAATGGAATGAAAGCTGTTTGGGAAAATTTTTCATTAAATGAATTATTCTCATACGAATTTTTACTGCACAATATACAGGGTGATTCACAAACGGTGATCAAAAATGAAGCCTCGTATTCTTTGGTGAATTTTAAGGGGAGTTTTTCCTACAAAGTTTTTATCTAGGATGCTTCGATAAAAAGATTAGGGTGTTAAACTTCAAAAAATATTTTTAATTTTTCCAAATAATTTAAAAACTAGTACGTGAAATAATTTGAAATTGGTCTCATGTATTTATGTAAATATTGTCCAAAATATGAGGGCTTTTCCTAAAATTTATATGCTCCGGTGGCGGAGATATAGGGTATCGGTGTCATATTTTTTTAAATAAAATAGTACGCCACTGCTTTACGGTAACAACCATATTTTCGGATTCATCTTTCAATTTTCTACAAATTACTACTCACCTATGTTATTCCGTATGTTATTCCGTACAAATGCTTTTATCTCAAGTAGGTATTACTAATTATATTAATCAAGTAAAGAAGACTTTATGTAACCCTAAATATTGCTGGGTAATGACTACGATGTTTTTATAAACCATTAAATATATTAAAAGGATTTACAACTGTATTTTTTATTCCAATAAATATATCACAGCTTCCTAGTCTTTTTTAATTAATCTAGTTTTTTAAAAACATTACAAAAATCATCTGTTGTGGATAATTTACTGTTGATAACAATGTACATGGGATTTAGGAAAAATGTATATGTTTGAAATCAATTTCGTTTTTATCAAGTCTTTCAAATGTATTCCCTCCTTGCTGTCAGCTGATTGCGACGTTGCCACATTAATCCTCAAGTCAGACAGAAATGCAATTACTGTTTTCTGTTTCTAATTAATACAGCTGTACTATCTATGAAAAAGTTTTGTTTCACAATTTCTACATTTTTTTCTCAGTTATGGGCAAAAAAGAGCCGCACCGTCCATCTTCGCCATATGAACCTATGTTAAAATGAACAACTTTCAACAACAATATCTCAAAATCTAGATTCAAAAAAAATTTCAAAAAAATATGACGCACAGAAGGAGTACTGGGTAATACGCTATATAAATTTCAAGTACATCTGTGCATTTGAGTAAACCCGATGTACCTCCTTAAATGACATGAATGAATTTTTAATTTAAAAAGTTATATTTTCTATAAAACCAAAACATTAAAAAATATTAGACAAAAGTTAAACGTGTCGTTAAAATTTTGGATTACTTCTGAGACACGTTTTAATAGTCGTGGATTCGATTACGTTCCTATAAAAATTAATGTACTTAAAATCGTTTCACATAGCTTGAATACTTAAAAAAATACTTTTAAGTCTTCTTAACACTTCTTTAATAAGTAAATTAATTCTAAGACGAAATGTGCATCAGCGTAACCTAATTGAAAAATTGATCGTCTGTCATCCTACTGAGTACATCTATAATTTAGTATTAGTTTATAATAGTATCCGGGAAAATCTTAAAGTACCACATATAAATCATTTCAACATAAAATTAGAAAAATATCCATTATAAAAATAGTAAATGTTATAATTTTGTTCTATTTAGTTAATATTTTGTAAATATAGTCCCACCCGTATAGGAGTATAGGAGAGCAAGAACAGCTTTGGGTTAAATTTGCTTTGACAAAAAATGGCAAATTTCATTTCTATTTCATTTTGTTTGTTTTTGTTTTGTATCAAATCAATTTCTTCCCATTTCAAATGTACACCCTGTATATTAATAAATTATGCAGATGAATATGATTTAAATACCAATTTTCCAAACTTAAAATCATTTAATAAAATATCATATGTCACAGTGATGAATATATTTTTTATAATACAGGGTGGTCCGTTTTTCATGGGTCACCATTGCCATCTGGGAAACCGTAAGATATACTCAAATTAGAAAAAAGTTGCCCCTTTTCAGGGTCATGAAAATAAACCACAATTCAAAGATATCTCCTGCCATTCCTGAAATATTGTGAAAAAACTGAAAATAGCGATTTTAGAAAATGCCATCCAGCGTCCTTATTTCACAACAGAAAGAGCTGAAATTTGGTACTGGGGAATAAGAAGATACATGCAATTCATTTTCGTTGAAAGAAAATGTCTACGGCCACTAGTTTCAGTCTGCAACATTCAATTGTTTTTCTTTTCTTATGGGCGCCATATTGGATCTTGACAGTAACAGATAGAGGATAAAATTACGAACACGTCAATACGTAACACTACTATTTTATTTGAAGAATAACCCATAAAATTAAAGAAATTCAATAATTTATTTAAAAGTTAATAAAACTTAATATCGCCATTTTCAGTTTTTTCACAATATTTCAGGAACGGTAGCAGATATCTTTGATCTGTTTGGTTTCTTTTAATAACTGAAAAGGGGCAACTTTTTTCTAATTTAAGCCACCCTGTATATCTTACGGTTTCTCAGATGCCAATGGTGGGCCATGAAAACGGACCATTCTGTATAGGCATCTTTCGCTACATATAGGGGAGGGACTAATAATAGATAGAATATTCTATAATACTTCTAAATTACTTAATGAATAAAAATAATGTTTCACCGTTACAAAAGTTACATGAATTTTTAATTATAAGCCACAACATACGAAAAGCTCTTACAACTAATATTTCATTTATATGGTTATTAAAGTTTTATACAGAATCCAATAATCCCAAGGCTTTTAACAGAGTTTTTAATAGGGAGTAATAATTACTTATTTATATTACAGTTAATTAATTTTAGGAGAAAAAGTAAAAACATTTGGCCAAATCAAAACATAAGCAACTTAATTTCGACAACTGAAATACATGCTCTAATTCTTTTGGCAAAAAGTAACAATCAGACAATGATTCACATCTATTATAAATTTTAAAATCATCCGCAAATATCCGACAGTGTGATTATTGAATCACATCTGGCATGTCACTTCCAACACACAAAAAATAGTGGTCCTAAATTGTGCCCCTGTGGTACCCCTGACAATGTAATTGAGTTATTTAAAGTTTGCGTCTCTTGTATACTTTTGTCGATTTTAGAAATATGACGCACATAACTGCAATAAATTACTTGAAAAACCAAGTTCACAAAGTTTTTTTTTTAAAGTATGTATATCAAACGCTTTAGTAAAGTCTGTAAATATAGCATCCACCTTGTACATTGTTATCAATCATCCATATTAATTGCAGTCTGAGCAAAAATTTAGTAACAGTGGATTTATTTGACATAAATCCATGTTGTACATCTTTCAGAAGTGGATTAACATGAGAATATACAGGGTGATTCAGAACTTATCCAAAAAAAAATTTTGGATGTACAGGGGACCATTACAAATACAATTTTGTAAAGAAAAAATCAAAAAGGTCAGTTCGAAATTGATTTAAAAATACACTTCTGCACGGCACTGGAAACTGGTCCACTGTAAAACCTGACCTCGCACAATGCGACCGGTATGGCGGCGTTATAAAAACGGACAAAAACCTTCGCAAGGAAAGAAATATGTAAATAGAATTTTATCGCACCTATTTTATATCGGCAAATTTACATGTTTTTGTCTTTATTAATTAATAATAAAATTAATTTGTGTTTTTAAATAATAAAATCATTTGACATACCCGATGCTGCAACAGCAATTGTTCAAAATTTTATCCACTCACGTGTAAACACATTTGGGTCCGTCTTACTCACTTTCTACGAACTAACACAAATGATGTCTTGCTTCACCATAACACAAATACTTCACCATAATACAAATGTTGTCTTGCTTCACCATAAATTAAAACGATATCCATCAACTCTGAGTTGCTATACACGCAAGCCATTTTTGACACTAACTACTAAAAAACTGATGTAAATACCACAGATAACAGGTAAAAACTACCGCAACGACGGATTTCAGTATTAGGAGTCACATGGCTCTCCACGCGTATTGCGAATGACGCTAGAGACTACAGTTGTCCAGCTATGTAGTGGTTTAATGTGCTATAACTTCAATAATTTTTTTCTTAGAAACTATAAGAATTTTACAAAATTTTTTTTTTTACAATATTGACTCCATTTCTCATGCCGCATCTATTCCCAAATTTTTTTTGGATAAGTTGTGAATCACCCTGTATTTTTCTATATAATACGGACTCAAATATTTTACAAGGTGTGCGTAGTAAAGCCAAATGGCTTTTAGTGTCATTTTTAAATACGGGACATATTTTTGTTTATTTCCATACCTTTGGATATGTAGAACTGTTAAAAATTAAATTAAATATTAATTTTAATGATTTTACTAATAGTTCAGCACAACCTTTAAATATAGGTATATGACCTCAGGACACATAGATTTTTTGTTTGGTTTTCATTTTTGTATTACTGATATTCCTAGAATTACAGAAGAATCAAACTTAATTGGAATAATGTGTAAGTCAGTATGAACTTCTTTTCTTATTTTTTATCGGAAACAACTTTGTCCGGGGAATATTCCATTGCCTTCTACATTTAAAAATTTAATTGAATAAATTAATAAAGAAATACATAAAAAATTTAAGATTCGAGATATTAATATTCGTGTGTATAGAAAAATGTCGTTATTTCTAGAAACACCTCCGCTGAATAACAAAAAAAAAGTCAAATGGCACCGTGGTTTTGCGGAACGAACTTACCTTGCTGGGAATCAGTAAACGAACTTCTTCATCTCCTCGACGAGAACGTTTTTGCGGGGAACCCATGTCACCGTCAGCCTCTCGCTTCATGGCTAGTCTGCCTGAAACAAAATACGCCATTAGGACCTTTCGGGCCGACCTTATTAATTAACAGTCGACAATCACGTAATGCCGTTTCTGCGGTTGAGGAATTTCACTGGAGGCTTCCGCAACGCCGGATTCGGCCCTCCCTGAGGCTTCACGTCTTATTTATTAGTTCAATTATTGGGTTATCCAGGAAATGGGAGTCATTTAATGGATTAATTTACTAATTTGTACTTTATTCTGTTAACAGTGGATGTAGATTGATTTCCCAATACTGAAAGGAGGTTTATACAAATATTTGAGTAGGAATTAATGGTAACTTAATCGGGATGTATGTTCGTAATATTCACTTTTTTATGCTGTTTACGTTATATTTATCTGAAATTGTTTTTTTTAGCTTTAGTGTAGTATTGCTTATATGTTGTATCTTTCGTGCTTTTCTTTCTTTGACTTGTGTAAACATTTTAATGTATAGACACCAATAAATGATTTCATTTGATTTGATTTGGGAGCAAGTTCACTACAATACACTAAAAAAATAATCGGAGTAGAAAGTAAAACTAGAGTGAGGATTTATTTAATTGTAAAAAACTACATAATATACAAAACCCAAACCCAGAATCAGACTAGACCAGGGTCGATAATTTTTGAAACCAAAAAAAATTGATTTCCCTTATTTTTACTTAATATCGAAAAAGCACCCTAATTTTCTATCGAAAATTCTCACGTCAAAATATCTGCATTTTTAAAAACGTCGGTGGGCTTTTACTTCGTTGAAATCTCTACTTTCTGATGGTGTAAAAAAAAATATACATTACTATGGTAAGTTTTCTCAGGAAATGCAAAAAACGAAAGAAGATTCTAAAACTTTCTCAAAATATTGTAGATGTCTTATTAAATATTAACTTTATTAACTTATTTGGTTGTTAATTATAATAGTATATTTCGACTTGTAATTTTTTTGTTTATCAATGTAACATGGAATCTTACGTAATTAAAGTGTAAATTTTAATAAATAGCTCAAAATTGTACATGATTAGAAAAAAATTTTCGGATTCTAGTTTTTTCGTTTCTTTGCATTTCCTGAGAAAACTTACCATAGTAATGTATATTTTTTTTACACCATCAGAAAGTAGAGATTTCAACGAAGAAAAAGCCCACCGACGTTTTTAAAAAAGCAGATATTTTGACGTGAGAATTTTCGATTGAAAATTAGGGTGCTTTTTCGATATTATTAAAAATATGGTGAAAAAATACATATTTCAAATAAAAAAAATTACAGCGTGTTTGGGACATAAATAGGTAAGTTTTCACCAAATTTCGTGAAAAAAAAAAAAAATATTTTATTGTAAAGATAAAAATAAAAAACCAAAAACTTGGTTATTTGAATTTTTCACATAAATTTTGAGGTTATGTGAAAAAAGTGCAAATACAAAAGTTGTAGATCTTTTTATTACCTACAACTTTGCTATTTAACTTTTTTCTATAAGACTTGTAGTTTTTCCGGAAATCAAGATAAACCGTTTTTTACCCTTAAAAACTCACCCCCTTCCCGACCACAGATTGCCCGTAAATTATTTTTCTTTTCATTTCTGTTATATCCAATTCCTTTTCCAATGGGTTTCATCCTATAATTTTTTTTTCACTTTTTACCATTTTTGAAGACTTAAGCACTGGTCTACTGGAAAAAATGTTTCGATACCTACTTCCACAAAAAACCTCTGTGTTTGTAGAAAGTAGTATATAGGGTGATTCAAAATTCAGTACAAAGAATGTGGGGGCGTATTTGTGAGGACAAAATAATACTTGTTTTCCTATAAACGTAAGGTGCGCAAATGCTTAGTTTTCGATATACAGGATGTTAAAGTTTATCTATTTTTTTTTTATTTTTAGGAATAATTTCCAAACAAATTTGAATGTTGGCATAAAACATGGGGTACGGGGGTTTTTTAGGATGCTAAATTTAAATATATAATTACTTTTGACGATGCTTGTGAGGGCGGTACTTATAAGAGTACAATTGAATTAAATTGGGCCTAACTTTTTTACTACCCTGATGCACACCATATTTTAAATTTTTATTAACTATTTACTGTGAAAATAAGATTTATTCACCATGTAATCAATCAGTATTGCAAGGATCTTGAATTTTAGTTCTTTAAATTTTTTTGATACAACTAACCGTTTTCGAGAAAATCACTGCTGACTAAACGGTAGTAGTCACTAGTTAGTAGCAATAATTAAAAAACCTAAATATTCTGTATATCGAAAACTAAGTATTTGTGGACCCACGTTTATAGGAAAAAAAGTCTTATTTTGACCTCAAAAATACGCCCCTAAATTCTTACTGTACTGAATTTTGAATCACCCTGTATTTTTATTAAAAATTTTTTAAAAAATTTTCAAAAACTATTGAAATAGATCTGACTTTGACATGATCAGTAAATTTATTTTTATGTCTATAGCATTTACGCCTTTATTATGTCAGATTTGTTAGTTTTAGTTCCGTTACATATGCAGGCGTGTTGTGTTCTTCTTGGTATCCATCATGGTTGTGAATAATTGTACAAAATTTCTGATTTATTGGTACTTGATAGATGCAAAATATTAGTGATATGTGAATATATAAAGACATAAGATATAAGCATCTTTCTATTTTTCAAATTCGTTTGCTGACTGCACCTGAATATTGTTTGTCTTATTTCAATTTTGCATTATTATATATTCAATATTGTATTATTATTTTATTTCTCCACTAGCATGTGTGTGTATTACGGTTGAAACATTAATCTAAATATGCAATAATTTGTGGAACATATTTTTTGCAGTACAATTTCTAGTTTATATGTAAAAATTTACAGGTATTTTAAAAATTTTCAACTAATCTATAAACTTTCGTAGAAAATCTATGAAATTTTGAGAATTGTAGTAAAAAACAAAGTGAACATATTTAACAAGATTTTTTTTTCGTGTAGAGCCATTAACATATGTAATAATACATACCAAAAATGAGGCTCAAATATTTTCTTAATAAAACTTAAAAAGGCTGACAACTATAAATTTTTCGAGTCCTACTCTGATACGTTGTTTTTTCTGGAGTTAAATTTTGGATTTTCAAAAAAAGTATTTACATTTCTAGAGCTCTTATATACCCTAATAAATTCTAATTATTATTAGGTAGTGTTAAAATTGCAAGAGCCTTTGCAATATATAAAAAAATAATCAGAAATAAAATAATAATTTTTAAAAAATTGGATCCTACAAAATTTTTAGCATCATATGATTTGCAATTTCAAGGAAGTTATGTTCCCAAATGTATGTTTTTAGGGTCTATTTCAAATCTTGTCTGAACTCTGTACTGTGCAAGCTGTTTTAATTTTTTCGTATTTTCTTTTACTTTTACGTTTTTTTCTTAATATTAATATTTATTGTTTTTGTTGCGACATATTTCTTACGGTTATTAGTAAACTGAGTTCTGTTAAGAGCCGCATATCACTGAATTTTATGGTTACTGCCTTTCAGGCAGGATGGGAAACAATATTGATGAGTCGATGCAGTTGTCGATTTGTTATTTTCATGGACGGCGTTTTTCTTTTAAGTATATCCTCAAGTGTATGTAATTAATATTTTAGATCAATATAGTGGTTTCAAATGAAATGGACTGGTACGAGAATAAAAGAAATATTCCAGAGTAAGTAAGGTTGACAAATCCTGTAAAAATCCCAGGGGTAGACCATCCAACACTTTCGATGCATATTTGTTACAAATATCAAGGAAGTGGGAATGTAGAAATTTCGTTTTGGTGTACACATTGTTGTTTTGGTGTGGTAAGCTGCCATTTCCTCAGTGAAAGCTTAATATTTATGTACATACTATGGCATGTAATAGTTTACCGATGAACATAGGAAAAGGTCATACACATTTTTTATTTTCATTATATTTCATAATTTCTTTGACGTACCTATCGCCTAAAAACATGCTTATTTAATTAACTATTTTTCCCATTTCATATAAAAAGTTGAGTTATATGTAATACCAGCAATTACGTACATACATTGCATACGATACACGTAAATTCTATAGTAAATTCAACAGTTCTCAAATTTTTCTATTGCATCATACATATTTATTTTAAATTATATTGCTGTTTAAAAGATATTAATTAGCTTTTTTAAAATTTATCTTTTATGTCAGAAAAGGGCAGTTTGATTCAGAAAAATCAAAGGCATTTTAGATGAAAATCGAGTTTGTCATTGTCGTGAAGCCATAAAATTTGTAACAATGAAATTCAAATGCATTTTAGTGTACGTTAGTGTCATCTTAAAACGTAATTAATTAATTTGACTTAGACTATACAATGTGAATCATAATTAGGTGCTAATAATAATTTAACCTTTAACCAATGGTACCTCATTCATAAAAAGTTACTTAAAAGATTTTTTTTCATTTTGATAAATTGTATGACATCAACATTTTAAACGAATTTTATTTTTAATAATTCTTAGTTCATTTCACAGAAAACCTGCTACTCAGTGACCAGGTAATAAATAAATTATGACCATAATCATTACCATTACCATTACCTACAGGTATGCAAGTTTGTTTTAATTTCTTAAGGTTTTATGGCTATGGGAAATATACTTTCGTCATAACATCTTCGGCATTTTTGCTACTTGTGAAAGTACTACTGTCTGCGTTATTTACATTGAGGAATATATGTATTTGTTTGTACATAACTGTTATTTACTGTTGATATTATAAATATAAATGTGAAATCATCAGCTAAGCGGATGTGCAAAAGAATTAATATTTTTGGCAGAGTAGCATTTATCTTTGATTACAAAAGTTGGAAAAAATATTATGTGTAAGTACATTTTAAGTGTTTAATGTTTTGGAATATTAATCAGCAATTAGTATTTCGGAAATCGAATAATCGATTTTTAAACTGTACAACTTTTGTCTACGTCGCTACTGGGCAGTTTCCCGAACTTGACTGCATGTGAGCGCTTGTCAGTGT